AATAGTGGTTGAGAGTTGTCTCCAGGAGCAGTTTTACCACCTATGTGTGAAGATGAAGCACCCTGGGAGACTGAGTTCTGGAAGCTCTCCTTTGTCTCCAGAGCAAAGGAGACATGCATGTCAGGCTTTTGACTACACATGTAGGCCCAACTATGGTTCACAGATACCAGGTCCCAACATTCCTCACAGTAGAGCTGGAGACCAAGCAAATGTCATCCAAGGTGACTATCTTGTTGGAGGTCAAAATGACATGAAAAGAGCCTGTGTCCTGTTCCAACATTGTATCCAAGTATTGCTGATACATAGCTTAAAGGAGTCAAAAAAGGAATCATCCAAAGTACATTGTAAATAGAGTTTATGCGGTTCTATCAGACAGCAATCAAAAAAACCAAGAGCCTCTCCAGACAGACTTAGTGAGTGAAAACATTATCCTTTATGCAGAAGACGTGTGTGGAATCTCCAACCGTACTGGATTGTTTCTTTTCTGTGATTTGAAATCTGATTGGTTCCCATGGGTTCCAAACTGACATAACTCTGTTGGTGTGAGTTCAGCAGGAGGTCTTTCAGATTTACTGGAACTGGCTCTTTTTGTAATGTCATAAAACCCTGTGCACTGCCATTGAAATGCAAATCATGTGGTTTCAACAGCGGGTGGTATCACAGGCAAAGGTGAGGCACGTCTCTTCTCCAGCTTGGCTTGTATAGCCATTCCATATACACAATGACTCATGACTAACTTTGGTGTGTATAGAGGAGACATTGTTAACATTAACAAATTGGAATCTATCAGACAAACACGGCTTGAACCATCCTGTTCCTATAATCCCTAAATGTTGTTCCAGTCTCTAGAACAGAATCTTATGATGTATGCTGTCAAATGCAGCACTACGATCCAGCAGGACGAGTATAGAGACTAGTCCATCATCTGATGTCATGAAAAGGTCATTATTAACTTTCAACCAGAGGTGGCAAAAGTACTCACATTCTTTACTTAAAGGACCAGTGTGTAAGATTTAGGTGAAAGGGATCTATTGGCAGAAATTTAATGTAGAATAATCCTCATGATGTTTTCACCAGTTCATTTAATCTAAATTGTATGAATTGTAGTTTTCTTTACCCCAGAAAAGGCCCTTTATATTCAAATACTTTATATTTACATCAAGGGGATCCTCTCTACGGAGGCCGCCATGTTTTTTACATTAGTCCAGACTGGACAAAGTAAACAACTTTTGAGTTTTTATGACAATTAAAGGTTACCACAGTTTCTTTTTCATGTTTGGAAGGGGAGGATGAGGTGAGGGGTGTTCAGCTGCAACATGCAATTTCAACACTAGATATCAGAAAATTCTACACACTTACCTTTAAGTAAAAGTACAGATATTTGTGTAAAAAAAGAAAAACTGATTCAACTCCTTTACTCAAGTAAAAGTAAGAAAGTACAGGCTCTGGAATGTACAAATACATTTTTAACTTCAATGATGATAGGATAGTTTTCCTCTTTTGGTATCAACCTACACAGAACTGGTACTGAGAAAAAAAATCACTGGACACACATCTAGTTTTGCTGCCAAATTTCAGACAGAATAATAGACTGAACTGAACCGAGGTCCTGCATGAGCACCTGGATACTTTTTTACAGGGAATAAATGGATGGGGAATGTGTTTGCATTGATTAAGTCCCTGCCCTTTGTACACACCACCTGTCACTACCATAGATTGGATGGTTTAGTGAGGTCCTCTGATCGGACCAGCCAGAGTTGGTCACGGCCCTGTGTTTTTACGTACGTCTTTTATGTCATGTCGTCATCTGTCGAGGTTGAAACAAGCAATGAGCCAGTTTTGAGAATGTAAGGAGTAGAAAGTACAGATAATTATGTTCAAATGTAGGGGGTAAAAGTAAAAAGTCATCAAAAAAATATTTAAAGTAAAGATACCTGAAAAATCGAATTAAGTACAGTAACGAAGTACAAATAATTCCCACCTCTGCTTTTAACTGCTTATATCAGTGCTGTTTCTGTGCTGTGATGGATTCTAAACCCTGATTGAAAGTCTTCAAATAAACAATTATTGCTAATTAAAGCTTTTTAAGTAACAGGATAATTACAACTACCTTAAAAGCCTGCGGTGCGTAGCCAGTTAATAGAGACATATTAATCTGATTTAATATGGAACAATCAATTAGAGGATGAACTTCCTTAAAAGGGTCTAATAGACAATAGATAGTGCATCCGTGCTATTCATAAGAGAGGGGTGGTGAACCTTTTCCCTGATTGGATTTGTAAAGAACATCAAGTAATCCCTACTGCTCAGAATCATCCCAACTACTTATTAGACTGTCTCTCCAGGCTAAGCGAAAATCATCTCAATTGAACACCACTTCCTTTCCAACTTCCGCTATCTATATTAAAGAACTTGTTGTGGTGATTCTGGTGTTGGTGTGTTGTGTTTGTCTCCCCCTTCTGTTCTGATCCTGCAGGTGGTGTGTGTGGCAGGGGGTGTGGCTGGCTGCAGCTAACAAGGCACACCTGCAATCATTCACCCATCATCCCCTCCATAAAAGCCTGGTCCTGACTCCACTACTCTGCCAGTTAACTCCGTCTAGTCCGGTAGCGTAAAGTAATGCCAACCGCGGATTCTTGCTTCTCGTTTTCTTTGTGTGTTTCATATTTAACCCGTTTTATTTTCTTTTTCTACACAGACTCCTCGGTGTGCCTTGTTGCTGCTCTTCAGTTTTTGTTTTCCCTCGTGCTTGTTGTCTGGTGGATAGTTTGGCCAGCCAGCACCCTGCCTCCACAGCCTGCCCGTTTTTGGTTTTGGTGATAATAAACTTTTCATTAACATTGTAACTATTCTCAGTGTCTGCTTTGGGGTCCAACAAAGAACCAACCCATAACACTTGTTTGAGAATTATAACATGGAGCTAACTTCCTCTGATTTGCTATCTTCTTTTCAGAGAGTCAACAGTGTCAATGGTTGTTGGCAATGAGGCTGCTGTACTAGTTACAAAGTCATCAACTAGTGAAAAAGGAGGTTTTGATAAGTTACTGTATTGAACTGACACGTGGCTGTGGAGCAAATATGAGGATTTATTTCCTTAAATTAGTTTGAATTATTACCCACCGTTTCAGATGTACACATGCACAACCAGTTTGACATATGCCTAAACTAAAAGAAGAACCAAGCATTATCAAGGCTGCCAACATTATATTTAAAAAAAAAATTACAACAAGTTTGTGGACAAGTTTGGATATATTATGGGTATTAGATATTAGTATTTTTTATTTAAAATGTATTAAGTTGTACGTATGGTATGCCAATACACTTGCACACATACACACACACACACACACACACTGATAGGCACACTACATATTTACTTTGTACTTATTTTGTGTGGCTTTTATACAACTGTAAACTTAAAGAGCTTTTGTTTGACCTGTGTTTGGCCACCGAGCCATGGAAATCTGAGTTGTGACACCAGTGTACTTATTTATTTATAACAGAGTGCTGAAATTAATTACCAGCCTAGATGATTTTAACAGGAATACTAGATGTTCAGTTTCCATCACTTAGTGGAATGGCATTGCAGGACAGATTAATTTCATAAGCTTGTATTAATACAGTCCAATGCAGTTGTAGCTAGTGATACAATTTATTGGGGGAGGCACAGTGTTGGGGTGGACAAAAAAACTGAAGCCAAACTCAACCAAAACAACACAACACACAATATGCCATCCTGTAGCCTTCCTCCAGATGCTGAGTAATGCTAAGCCTGTATGTATGTATGTAATGATAAATAAATGAAAACACAATAAAAACATGAACAATACTTTTTTATTTCTTGGATGGAAGGTCATGGACAAAGCTTGAAAACTTACTACTAAATAAAAGCAGGTATTATGAATGGCTTGTGGGTCAGCTGCAATACAATCTAATTAATAATCATAAGCATAATGAACCCTACATGTAGTATGCAGGGGTTGAGAACAGCAAATAGGGACTGAGTTTACAGTCTGCTGATGCAAAGCTGCTGTTGTCATGGGACTGGCGGCGGTAGTACCTGCGGAGGGCGGGACTACCAGGGTGGCACTGTCTGACATGGAGGAAATACTCATCAGGGCGGCTTGAGGTGTAACCACAATCCTCACACACAAAGATCTTGGAGCGTCTCTGGCGATAGGCATACTGTTGGTGAACGCTGTGAATCTTCCTCATATGGGACTCCAGAGAGCAGCGCTGTGTGAAAGCTTTCTCACACAATTCACACTTGTAGGGACGGATACCTGCAGCAGTAGACAACAAAAGTTTTTTTTTCTTGGCATGTTTGTATGGATGCACTTATACATTCAGAGACATTTTACAGTTCGGTGACTGTAGTTCTAAAGTCATGTGTGTGTCTTAATTTGTTACAGTCATATTATGGAGGGACCCTCTTTATTGTGACAAAAAGCAAGATACCTCAAGGTTGAGGTTAGGGGTTAGGGCCAGGCACATAGTATTTATTTTCTCTCCAGGATGTTAATGTTAGTCGATATAATATCCTGTGATTTTCTGTATGTGTGTAAAGTGCTGATGACTGACCTGTGTGTGTTCGCATATGCCTTTTGAGGTCGAAGGTATCATTGAATCCTTTGCCACAGAATTGACAAGGATGTCTCTTCAACAGGCTGTGGCACTTGAGGTGGCGGGTCAACATGCGCTGCAGAGGGAATGTCTTGTGGCACACTGAGCACACAAAGTTGTCTGAACCTGGGGAAGGACGGGGACGGGGCTGAGATGGAGAGATAAGACAATAATGAAAACTATATAGAACCAGAGCCACCAGAGCCATCCTCCCCAGCCACATCACCTCAGCAGTCAGCAATGCACACAGAATCATGCTGCCTTCACTGCCAGAAAGCCAACCAAACATGATTTTTACATTTTCAGTTCAATTCACATTGATTTGTATTGCACCAAAATCATAATATACATTATCTCAAGGCACTTTACAAAGAAGGTCAAGACCTTAAAATCGTATTAATATAGAGAAACCCAACAGTTCTCACAATGAGCAAGCACTTTGGCGACTGTGGAGAGGAAAATCTCCCTCATTAACAGGGAGAAACCTCTAACGGAACCTGGCTCAATGTGGGCGGTCATCTGCCTTGACCGATTGGGGTGAGCAAAGAAAAATGGGAAGGAGAAGGGAGATGGGTGGAAAAGAGTGGAGAGAAGAAAGAGAGATAGTGGGGAGGGGGAGAGACAATAGTAACACTTGAGCAACATCAGGTATCAGCTCTGACTATTTGTTTTTGGGGAAGCTGCTTTCAATTTATTCAAGAGTTATTCAAAAGTTGATGGTGGATCTGATGGCGGTAGAGGATCATGATGATGTACTATAATCTGTATCCTGATCATGGTGGCTGCTGAACGTGGACTATGATATCAGCCAGACTGCTTGATATATAATATGTCTACTCAGATACCCAACCATTACTGACAATAATTCCTCAATTCATTTACCTTCCATCAAGCTACAAACTGTTTATCTAACAAATGCTGAAATTACTCCATTACACATGACATCTATTGCACTTGTCTGTCCCGGGAGAGGGATCCCTCTAAACCTCTCTGAGGTTTCAACAACGTTCTTTTTCCCCTTTTAAAAAGTCATTTTTGTAGTTTTTCCTTACTCTTGCTATACAAATAAAATTTGACTAATTGATGTTTTAAATATTGTACTCGTGATGATGTGCTCTGATACACGCAACATCAGAGACATCCCACTTCTGTCTGTCCTGCAGGAGGCAGATCCCTCACATGCATCTCTCTGAGGTTTCTAAGTCCTTGCTAAATGATTTTTTGGGTAGTTTTCCCTCGCCCTTGAAATACAGGCAGAGGTCGTACCTTGTTAAGCCCTATGAGACAAGTTGTTATTTGTGAATGTTGGCTATACAAATGAAATTTGATTGATTGATTGAAGCTAATGTTAGCCCGATTGCATCATCACAATTGCTAATTACCTCCAGGTAAATTCATTGATGGCTTCATTTAGTTGTCAAAAAACAAACAAACTACAGCACACGTGAAATTGCTAAAAACGTCTGTGCTGCCAAAATATATAACAAAGCAACAGATGCTGTCCCTCCTTCATAAACTTAACTGCACATTATCCCTCTCCCATTTATCATACATCTCTGTGATTCTGGTTTCATCTGCACAATCACTGGAATGACATCACTTTCTTCATTTTGAGTTGTTACATCCTCCAACTCATTGCAGTTTTCCCAAATGGCCCATCCATGGCTTTTAAGAAATTAATATAGAAATGTTTCCACATTTAAAAAAATCCATGTAGTTGGTTATACATCTGTTGTTTTTTACTCTTTTCTGTTTTATTGTTCGACATACAGCTTCAGCCCTTTTCAACCATGATGACATCTCAAGAGTTCTAAGCACCAAATAGACTCTCGTTTTTATCATACCACTTTTTCTGTTTTGCACAGCAATACAATGTTGTTTAAATCTCTCCTAATTTAAATACAATTTAAAGGTCATATCAATAAAAAGCCAGATATATAGTATGTGTAATAATATGTATTATATGTAATATATATTGCTACGCCTAGAATTATAATGCGCAAGCACTCCCACTTACAGTAATGGGAGACTGAAAATGACTACTGACACTGCAGTCATGCACTCTGCACTTCGGTCACCTGTTTACATTTTACATACTGTATTTATTGTATATATTCTGTGTCATTACATGTTGTTTTCTTGTTGCTCTTATGTTGTACCACAGGGTGTAGCAATCCAAATGTCGTTGAATCACGTTCAATGACAATAAAGGCAATCTGAATCTGATAATCCACAGAAAGCAAAGAAAACTAACACTTTTCAAATTATTTTATCACCACATGTTTAAGATCATTAATTATTAATTTGATTGATTTTCTTGAAGACAATAATGACAACAGCACATTTTCAAATGTGAGGAATAATAAGAGGATCTAAGAACTGTTGTAAAATTAGTCATTTAAAGAAAGGGTGGAATTCCATCAGGTCCTCATATTTAAACATCAAGGGGGATTGGGTTAATTTATCCTCAGCAACTTAATTGGAGCAAAATGTCATTTTACATTCTATACTAAAATCAGAAGTCTCAAATGTCAGATAAAATTGGTCCTGGGTCCTAAAACCTATTTTCATCATCTGTCCTTTATTTGCTCTGCTATGTAAACTAGGTTTTCAGGGGAAAAAATGATCCAAGGGCAATATTAAAAGTTACTTGACAAAAAAAGGTGGACCTTACCTTTGCACTGCTTACTGGTGCCAGTATACTGTGATGGTAGAAAGAGCCTGGAAGCATCAGTGTGGACCATTCCACCCTGACGTCAGCCCCTGGCCCTCCTGATCCTACCAAAGGCATTGGATATCTCATTCTTGCTGCCTGAGGCACAGTAGAAGTATGTTGGGGGCCAGGATTGAAGGGTATCTGCTCTTTAATGTTTTCACTCACTGCAACGGAATAAAACATTTGTTCACAAGTAGATATGTAAAAACCAGGTTAAATAAATAACACAAACTACCATGTAAGTTACTGCTTACCTTTGAGAGCTGAAAATAGACTAAAGGTGCTTAAAATTCTTACCTACTGTACTATCTTCTTTCCACTCATGCTGTTCTGGCTCTTTCCATTGCCATGCTCCACATGTCCCACGTTTCTTTTTAATAAGGAAAGACCTCGGCATCCTAGAGATTCTTTCAGTCCTTTCCTACTTCTTCAGTCCTATCTACTTGATCTGTCTTCAGTGATAAACTCCTAGAGCTGTGTAGGGTGGGAGGTTAGAGATAGTCAGTGTTTTGACTGGCATATACCTGTGTTGACTGTGCGCATGCGCCACTTTAACTGGCCCCCCACTGGTTTTGCATGTCAGGTAGTGAGAATCCGGGAGCTTCACATTCAAGTGGTCCTTGACATGCAAATTTTGGCCCCAGACCAAGCCCTGGCCCCACAGAAAGGGCACGGTCTGAGTAACAGGAGCAAACACAGAGGAGCCACAGCTTTAACTGCTAAGTAAATCAACCCTTTCTCTTTCTCTTGCAATTGTGGGACTAAAGAGCTTCTAGAAATTCATACAAAGACCATTCACATACCATCAAGATGTCAAGCACTTGTTCATTGACTGTGATGTTTACATAATTGCACATACATGATGGCACTTTCTATCCTGTTGTGTTGTTTCCAGCCACTCACACAGTGCATGCTGGGATCGACAGCATGCATTCGAACGGACTTTGAACGGAAAAAGATCATATAGAGGATGAATGAGTGAATCAAAATCTCCAAAACAATGAAATCTCCAATATGCTAACTAATATGAGTTATTAATGTATAAATTTAATGATGAGAAATATTGCTCATTGAAAATGACAAATTGTGAAAGTAAACTGCTTATCCTTTATCAAATGTTCGCTCAGTCAGTTATACTAGAGGAAAATTAACTGCAGGCATCTTCATCTTATTTCACTGGACTCTGCAAGGCAAATACAAATGTGGCCCGAGACTAAAGCCTATCATGCAAACATCGGTAGAGGTCACTCCAAGAACATCACAAGTATGATGTATGTAGTAATTGTAAAGTTTACGAAACAGTTTTAAGTCAAAGAGCTCTTGAATATGTCTCATTTTCTGAATACATTGAAAGTGATTATTGATAAGCATGTACAACAAGTGTGAAGTACCTTTTTGATGTTTTTGAGGGAGGATATAATTAAAAATAATTACAACCATTGTATTAATTTGTGGAAAGTGTAAATGTTCGATCAGTGAAAAATGATACGATTATAAAGTGTTAAAGCAATAGAGTGCAAGCTTTTGCAGGAGATTGCTGACTGTACTGTGTGTTGCTATTCGGACCTGCTCTCTAACTGTATGCAAAACAACAGCCAGAGTGCTGCAGCATGAAAATTTAATGGTAAAGAGGTAGCTCCAGCAATGTATGTAGGCTACAGATAAATCACAAAGGTTGTATATTTAGTGAAGGAAGGGCATCTTTTCAATACAGCTAATGATAACACTGACAAGTAAAATGTCATATCTTTTTTATTTTCCAGTAATACAAAAGACAACTACCTCATGCATCAGTGAATGGACTGTCATTGCCAAAGAAAGTTCATTCATTTTTTTGTCTTTGAGTAAATGACCAGTCTAAATATAAGCACACAGAAGTCCATGTTTAACCAGTATGCCACACCCTTGCCCCTCTAATACTTAGTATTTACTATATACTTAATATTTTTTTAATACTAATACCTTTAAAACCCATCCTATTTCCCAAAAAATTTAGAAAATAAAGTCATTGTGAAGGATTCCAAGAATTGACGGTTTGTCACATGCAACAGCAAAATGTATATTGACAAGCAATGAGGCCTGCCTCATTGTAAAAATAAAAAAACACCAAAAATTAAATTATAAATATACATGATTGGTTGATTCTTTGGGTAGGGTTTGGTGTATGCCTAAGGTGTGTATATTCTGATTAGTATTTATTGTTTGACTTGTATTTGTATTAATTGCATGTGTGTTTGTATGGGACTGCAGATGGAAAATTGTTTGTAGCTACACCTTTTACAAAGAGTTAAATGACCACATAATTCATCTTCTTTCTCTCATGGGCTGCCTCCAACCACTTCTTCCATGGCATTATCAAAGCTTTTAGACTAAAAACATTTTGTGAATTCGAGTGAATTCAAATTTGAATAGCGGGGATTATGGACACTTCAAGATTCAAGACTTTATTGTCATGTGCACAACAATATAACATTTAGATAGGTAGAGCCCTGCGCGGGACTGTTTTCTTCATCCCGCTCCTGCCCGCTCCTGCTGAGTTTCTGATCATTACCGCCTGCAACCACAACGTGTGTGTGACACTCCCGCCCACTCCCGCAATGTGTATGTCCACTCCCGCCCGTACCCGCAAAACTCTGAGAATTTATGCCCGTACAATAATATAGATGCATTGATTTTGCGTCTTCTCCCGTCCTGCAGGACAAAACAATTTTAACAACGTAATTTTAGAGGCTATTAATAAAGAGTTTCATGTGGTAGTTTGTTTCTTTTCCCTGGCCTGCACGTCTTTTGACGCACTGGTCAGTAATATCGCTCCTTGAAAAGCAGCTTACTTTGACTGGGGAGAACAGAACAGGTGTGTCGCCTCAACCCAGAGGTGCCAGATTCGTGTCCGTTGTAGACTTTTTTTTGACATATTTTTGCCGATCCCGCAGTGTTTTTTTAAGCCGCCCGTTCCCCCCCGCAGCAAAGTTCAAACCGCCTGCTCCCACGAGATTTGTGTTGGGTCCCGCCGGGTCAGTCCCAATGCAGCCCTCTAGTTGCTGGCAATGAAATGCTTTGTGAACCCCGAGGAACCTGAAGCTGCTGACTCTCTTCAGCATAGTCCTGTTGATGGAGAGGAGGGAGTGTTCTACTCCTGGTCTCTTACTGTAGTCCATGATCGGCTCCTTCATTTTGCTGATGTTGAGATGGAGTTTGTTGTCCTGGCACCAAGATGTCAGGGCTCTTACCTCCTCTCTGTAGACCATCTCATCGTTACAGGAGATCAGGCCTATGATGGTCGTGTCTTTAGCAAATTTAATGATGGTGTTGGAGCTGTGGGTGACCACGCAGTCATGCGTGAACAGGGAGTACAGGAGAGGACTGAGCACGCAGCCCTGGTGGGCGCCAGTGTTGAGAGTCAGGGTGGAGAATGTGGTGCTGCCTATCTGCACAGCATGTGGTCTGCCTATCAGGAAGTTCAGTATCCAATCACAGAGGGCGGTGTTGAGCCCAAGGTCTCTGAGGGGGCACGATGGTATTGAACAGAGTTCAATACCAACTGAAGTCAGTGAACAGCATTATCACATATGTGTCCCTCTGGTCCAGGTGGGAGAGGGCAGTATGAAGGGTGAGGGAGATGGCATCTGCAGTTGATCTATTTGACCTGTAGGCAAACTGCAGTGGGTCCAGTGAGTCACGGAGGGAGGAGGTGATGAGAGATATGACTAACCGCTCAAAACACTTCATGATGGTGAAGGTGAGTGCTACTGGGCAGTAGTCGTTCAGGGTTTTTCGTTTTCTTATGATGGTCTCCATAAAGCATGTGGGGGCTACAGACTGGAGCAATGACAGGTTGAAAATGTCTGTGAACACATCTGCCAGCTGATCTGAACACACCTTGAGACCTCGGCCAGGGATGCCATCAGGACCATGTGCCTATGATAATTTATATTAATCTGGTTAGATGATCTCCACACATCTGCCCTGGATATTACAGGTGGGCAGTGGTCCTCCTGGGCCTCTTGTACCTCCACAGCCGGGGAGTTGCTCTCATAGTGAGCATAAAAGTTATTCAGTTCATCTAGGAGAGATTTAGACACCACCTCAGCCCTGCTGGTCTTCTGTTTGTAGTCTGTGATGGTTTTTAGTCCAGCCCACATGTTCCTTGTGTTGGAGCCCTAGTAGTGAGACTCATCCTTGTCCCTGTACTGTCTCTTGGCACTGCTGATAGCATTTCAGAGCACGTACCTGGACTTCCTGTACTCCTCCAGATCACCTGAGTTGTAGGCACCAGTTAGAGCTTTTTAAGTTTGGCCTGGACTTCCCCATTAATCCAGAGCTTCTGATTTGGGAATGTTCGTACAGGAATCCTCTGTATGACGCCATAGATGCATTTGCTGATATTGCAGATGACTGTGTCTGTGTATGTGTTGAAGTTGAAACACACACCACTCTATAGTAGTGAAGCAGTCCCGTAGAGCCGAGTCTGATTGGTACACCACAGGAGCAATATGGCTTTTTATGCCTTTTATGTTTTTTCAGTTTTATGTATGAAAAAGGAGACCCTAGTTACTTCAATTGTATTAGATTTGGCTGCAATGCTGTTTACCCCTGAGAAGTGTTTTGTGGACTCAAACAATTCAGTCAACCCTCCATCAGCATAGTGGTGATAAGATAATGAGTTAGTTTTCATTTTTCATTGAACTATCCCTTTAAGTCACAAACATGGACTGAAACTGATGCAGGGAATGGTATGTTTTCTTATGCTGTTGTGAATTAAATGACCAGACACTACCTAGATGATGACACATAACTACCTTTGGAAATGTATTTGTACATGATGAACAGTTTACACTTTGGATTTGGGATTCAGAAAGGTTTGTAAAGGATTTAGCCATATGTTTACACATCATTTATAACAGGTGCAAAGCACTTCATGGTTTGTTCTGCAGTGCTTTTATGTGCTGGCTGCTTAGGCAGGCTTGGGGAGTTTATAGACAGCTATCTTCTCTGACAGATGGAGCCTTTCAGTCACTTGCAGGAGCTTCACCTGCAGGTCATAACTGGTTCACATTAACATCTGATCCCACACACTTCAGATCAACAAAATTATATCCTGATCAAACTCTTATCATTTGTTGATGATTAACCAATGTTTACAGAGAAACTGATACTTTTATATGTCCAAATCTTTGCATACAAGTGATTAATCTACAAATGTATATTAAAGTTTCGTAAATGATTAGTTCATCATTAACCAAAGGCTTATAAATGACTCATGACTGAAAGTTATTATTAAGTGTTACCTTATAATCTTTAGGTGTGAGGGAGCTACTGAATGACTTTATTGGGAAAATATTTGAGAAACTGACGATAACACATTGGATTACAGCCCCCATCATTTTGCCCAAATAC